TTTTTTTTTTTTTTTTTTTTTTCGGTTCATTTTCTTCACCAACTGCAAAATTTCCATAAGATATAAACGAAAACTAACGGCTAACAGGAAATTTTTCAACAGTATTTAACTGTTGGATAGTATCTGTGATTGCATTAATACACTACTGACAGCTTCTTTACTGTTTCATCGCCCAGTTGTTTTCAATTTGTAATCTCCTTCTTTTAAAGATTGGCAGTAGAAACAGTTAAATTGCTAATTACGACAGCTGAATTGTATTGTTAACAGCAAAAAAAAAAAAAAAAAGAAAAAAAATTGAGTGTTTTTCAATGAATACATTATAAAATTTAGCAAAAATAAATTCAACACCCTGTAGAAGAAAATAGTAAATGAACATACCGTTAAATTTAGATCAATTTTTGTTATTACAAAAATACTGCCTATTTGAAAAACCTTGAATCTGTACCTGTTCAGTCTTCTATATGCAACTATTGACACCAACATAACATAGTAAACAAAAAAATTATTTACTGCTTCAAAATAGTCCACCAACAGTGTTGCTCATATTTCTCAACCATCATCAATTCAATCGCTTTTATACCACTGTAGCCCCTGGCAAGCCAATAAAAGCAATTTCATCGATTTCGTTTTTCTTAGACTTCTGCCCAAGTAAAATTTTTTTTTTTTTGTCATTCTCAAAAACAACAAAAAAAAAAAAAACCGAATAATTTTTCTTTGCATGAACAACCAGTTATTGACAATGAACTTTTCAATGTTACAGGCAATGAACTGTACATATCTGATAATGTGAACTTAGTTATAACAAACGCCGTTATTAAACTTACAATGTGCGCTTAATTTTTTTTTTACAATCTGTTGCTTCACTGTCAACAAATACGAATGACTGCACTTTATCAAAAATTAACCCATTAAATGACGTCGAGACAACAGAATCATTTGCAGAGATCATAATATAGTCAAACGTGCAGTAAAATATCATCTTTTCGCCTAAATGTCCCCATCGCTTCAAATGCCCCATTCGCAAACTGAGCAATCAGCACCGTCTTCCTCCCAAACGATGTCAATAAACTTTGGCTCACAGGTGAGTTCGAGTACAGCCATGCCATTAAAACTGGTCAGAACAAGCCGTTCCACTCTCTCAAACAATCGGTTCATTTCATTGTTCCATTTATCACTATATGTTCATCTTGATCGTTCGTTTACTTCCATCACAAATAATGATTTATGCATCACTTACTTTATTGTTTATCTATTGGTACCATCATTTACCAGTTCATTAACTTCCATATACACTGAATCGAAGTACAAAAAAGCAATCAGCAAAGTGCAGAAGCAACAGACTCTAAAAATCCTCCCGAATAATGAATTTCCAAACTGATATGACATATCAACTTATAAAACAGTCTAACAGCAAAGAATAACAAAATAGCTCAAAACTGAAAATAAAATAAACAGAAGCTTAATTCCAGCCCAAGTACTTCGAAGAAATGCACCGCCGTTGCTCCCTAACAGTCCATTCAAAGAATTGATTTTGAATTACAACAAATTTTAACAGATATATGACACACAACCAACTAAAATCTGTTTAAACAAGAGAACAAATAAGCTGGTATAATAAGCCTTCAAATTTTCCTCAGCCCTGACTCAGCTGGTCCCCTATACCGCCTGTGCAAGACCTGACACTTTCCTTGACTGCCTAATGCATGACAAGATTAGCGGAAACTCCAAATAAAAATTTATAATGCGTTAATCACAAATGACGCAGGTTACAAGAAATTAAATACTCAAATCCCCATCCTACAATTCTGCACTTATCAATAAACTTTATCAAACATAAAACAAACAATCCTTTTGAAAATTGAGAACAGTAAAAAAAATCAACCAAACATAACAAACAAGTAACATCAGAAATAATACTCTCAGAAACATGCAATAAGCATTATTAGGCCGTCATCTGGGGGGAAAAAAGCAAAAAATGTATACATAGGAAAAGGAATAAAAGACGAGATTTTTGAAAATTTCGATCGAAAGCCATTCATTACAAAAAAAATTAGGAACAAACAAGTGAAAAAAAAAACAAAGTAATAAAAAACAAAGTTATTCTGACTTTGCATCTCGCAACTTCTTATTGATCGCCCTTTTATGAACCATAAATGACCGGTTGTCTAAAATGTAACTGGCAATTGGTTCTGGCAGGTCACAGATGGCTTCGCCCTAGAACATTTGCCTATTATTCACCAAATTACCAGTGCTAATGAGGTAAAATGAGATAAAAACTAAGTAATATGTCTTCACCTGGATTTGATGTGAAAAGAAGCCATTTGTGTTTTTCTGAATTCCAATAGTGTTCACAGCGCTCTTAACATAATCCTCAGCAGATGGAATGAAAAATGATGTGTTTCTTGCCTAAAAACTAACTACTTTCACTGAAAAAAGATTCCTAGGTTCCTACAAACCATTATGAATAAGAAGAGAACTAACTTTAGCCATTTTTGTGGCAACGAGAAGCGGGCATACAAGCTGAATAAAAATGTGCGTTCGTGCGTATTCCTTCTGTAAGATCCCTGTGAACCAAGATACGTATTTCTAAAACAATTATATAACGCACTTTTAGAAACCATTTTCAAAATAAAGAGATACGGTCAAATAAAAGGAAAATCAAAAGATTTGAACGCCTGCTGCGCCACAGTCATTTTCAAGACAGTTCTTTGTGGCCATAACAGCACAAGTATAAGCAATTTGACATACCTTAGCTGCAGAATATGTACTCCACATGCTCATTTTATGAAATGAAGCTCCAGAAGCTACATTAATAATAATGCCACTATTCCTTTCAACCATCTGAGGTAAAACTGCAGCACAAAGCTAAAAAAATATTTCACTTACTGGATTAGACAATTTGGCTGGAAGCAGTGAAAACGCTCACTAGTTATGTGAATATTAAAATATACCAGCGTCGTTGGTAATGTGTTTACAATATTGGTCTCCACATGTTTCTTTAAACCCCCTTCAACCATGTGCAAAACGTCGGGGTATTCAAAAGCAACTCCAACATTGTTCACTAGAACTCCAACTTCCATAGCAGTCAACTGAGAAATAATTCGCTTCTGATATTCTTCTAGATCGGCACAAGAAAAGTCAAACTGAATCGTACGCACCTATACAAAAGATCTCGCTGTGAAAAAAACAGAATTTTCAGACGAAAGACGGTCCCTCACAGAAAGTTACTAAAATTTTAAAAGTGCTCACTTCGACTTTTGACTCTTTTTCAATGCCTTCTTTTACTTCATCCAATCTGGACTGATTCCGCGAAATCAGCAGTATGTTGAAGCCTCGACGGGCAAACTCAAAAGCATATGCCCTGCCGATGCCGTCTGTAGATCCGGTAATAACTGTAAGTAATTAATATAGATGAAATGCAACAAGACAATATAAAAAAATTAACTACTACTTCAAAACCCTGAATAAGAAGTTAAGTGAAACAAACCTGCCCATTTAGCCCCAGCAACACTAAGCAGATACAGTGGTTTTGCAAAGAAATATGGATAAACGCATCTATACACCTTCAAAAGAAGCTGTATTACGGTGTACCAAACAGTAATATGTCCGACCACTGTAAAGAAATAAGAGCAGCACCATGCCATGGCGCTAAAAGAGAATCCTGTATTAAACATAGGGAAAGTACTATACACTTGTGTACGACACGTAGAAACGCGAAACAGTCGTAACGCAATCAAAAAAACGAAAGAGGTAAAATATTATTAAAAAAGGAGAGCTGTACCAGCGAAAATCAAAAAAAGCCAAAGAATCCCAAATGGTTTATTTCGCAAAACTTAATTCACAAGGAAATAACAACCATAAGCTACATTAAATAAAGGTATCAAGGAAAACACAAAGAACAAAAATTAAAAGACAAAAATCAATCAAGATCCATATTGTCATCATCTGGCTTACCACGTTTAGGTTCTGGTTCTTTCACAAGTGAGGACTCATTAGTCTCTTCCTCTTCTGCTTCACGAGCTATGTGAGCATCAACCTCTATAAACCAGCTTCTTTCAAAACTCATTTGTTTATATATTCTTCCGACTTGGAACACTACTCGTATAAATAATTAGATTAAAAAGATAGATAAATAAGTTTGTATATATATACAGTATTTAAGTAAAACACACAAACAAGTACCAGAAGATGACGGTTGAGACTGGGGACACGGGGCATCACTGCTGCCAGCACTTTCCCCCGTTTTCTTCTGAGTTTCAGCCTCCGTCAATTTTTGGGCAAAGTTTACTAAATCTGTAATCATAACGTCACTGAACCAGAGTGCAGCTCACCAACAACAGAAACAAAGTTATTTGAAGTTTAACACAACAAGATGTCACCATCTACTTGCAAATTTTTTAAAATAAACTCAGCAAGCAGAGATTTTTCCAAAAATCTGAAGATTACTCTCATGACCTCTAGCAAAATCTGACCAGATACATCAAAAGCTTCACTTTCAAATCAGAATGACTTACCCCCCGACTGCGCCGCTGTAGTAACTTCAGGGGGCATACCAAACTGTGAAAGTACGGGAGCTAACTGTCCAGTCTGAAAAGCATGACCGAAAACATCAACCGCCTGACGGAATTGTGGAGTACGAACGGTTTGTTCAAGTTCTTGTTGGGGAGTATAGATAGGATCCTAAATTAAGCATGGAAGTGGACATTTTATAGTGCGAAACTAACTAAAACAAGTCGCTATAAGTTTCAGAGACACTGCTTACATTTCAAGTCCAATTTAAATTGGAAACATAAAATAGAGAAGCAATAAAGCCAGCAAGGGATATTAGAAATATAAACAATTTCTTCTAACATTTCAATAAATAAATTTTGAAATTGCTTCGTATTTATCAGCAAAAACCAAAATGACCATTTGCTTCTTTATAAAACAAATAAGACAATAATGCACCTGTTTTGGTAGATGAGGCATCAACTGATCGCCGTTATTCTTCACCGTCTCACCGACGTTGTCATTGTTCAAAACGTCAGACAACTCAACGCGAGCTAAACATTCCAGATGGTTGAATTAAAGAATAAAAAACGACTTTACGCTATTAGAAAATCTTAAAGTGACCTACTTTGAACGAAATCGTTTAAAAATGAAAAATCTGATAAAACATCTGCAGAGCACAGGAAAAATAACTTGAGTGTACAGCTTATGCTGACTTCACTACTCTTCATTAGTCAGTATTGTTAGTAATAGTATTAACTTACTCTGACAATAATGAATGCTTAAAAAGAAAGGTTGTATTTGAGAAAGAATAAAAAGACAAGATGAAAACGTACGGTTCTTCGCTCGTGCAGGGTTCCCAATGCTTGCGATGATGTCCTTCAACTGCGAAAGCTGGACAGCATTTCCCTGCCCACCACTTCCAGAAACGGTGCCATTTGCAGGAGTATTAGAGGGAGTAGCAACTCGCGTTGAAGCGCTTCCTTCAGTCGCTCTAAATTTACGAATCAGACAAATATACGTCATATTGAAGGTCTCTCCCTATATTAGTAAAAAAATTTTGGATGATGACTACAACTTAACAGATCAAGATGAAATAAGAAATCACAGATCATCATATACTCAACCTACTCAGCAAGTTTCTAAGAAGAATATTCAATTAAACAACATTTTTGCAAAGTTATGTTTTTTGAAAAGAACGTACTGAATTAAATGGAAAAGTAAAAACTTTTTCGAAGAACAGTTGATATACAAACTTGTGGCAAACAAGTTAAACAAAAAACTGATTCGAAATACTCACTGTTGCGCTCCATCACTAATCAATGGAAGCTGTGGTAAGAAATTTGCTCCATCACTTGTCGATCCCGCTCCATTGTTCATCAGAGATAAAAGTTGCATCAGCTGACTTTGGTCTAAATTACTTAATGCAGATAATTCATTCTCACTAGAATTAAAAGCTGCCAGTGCACCTCCAAGTGATATATTCCTTTCGCCACCGGCTCGGCCACTCTGTCGTGGGGCTGGAGGATTGTTAAGTATTTCATTTACCTATAACGAGTTGGTGCTATCAAACTGGTATTCTCAGCATCGTTTTGGCAAAATATTGACTCAACGACCTGGAAGTTTCGTCCAGAAGATATTTCTTTCGTCAAAAACAGTACCTCTCAACCAGTAAAAGAAACTGGCTTTTATACCATAAAACTTCCGTTTCTTTAGAGACGAACTACCGCATTTGTAATTGTACTGGAAATCTTCAAAAGTGATAATACCTTTTTACAATATTCATCATCTTTGTCTGTTTCCCCTTCTTGCATCCAAAACAAACGTCTTTCATCAGAACTTTTGAACTTAAGCATGTATACGCGACCATCCGTGCACTCTTTAACACGAATAAATTCCGTGTCACCGGGGAAAATAATCAGATCCTAGAAAAGAAAAATATAATTAAAATTGTGAGTAGCGGTCAATCAAACACTTTTGCTGAGAAATTCCTCTGATCCTTTTTTTCCAATGAGGTACAAAGTCCTGAACAGTAACCATCTTACTAAGTCTAAAAACTACACTGTTTGAGTCAAAAGGCTTCATAAAACAGAGTAAAAGCCTAGGGTTAAAAATAACTAATTTTTTAATACTAGAAATTAGTGAATGAATCTTTTCAAAAAACATTTGAAAATTTCAAAGAATAAAACGTCAAAAACCTCAAATCTTCATAAATTTATTAATCGAATCCTGTTAAGCCAAAACATTATAAGTGAACAGAAATCTGAAATTCCATTCAGAATCCCTATCAAGCTCTTTTATCTTATGCCTACACAGCATAATCGAAGCACCTGTAAAGTAAATCCTGGGGAATTACTTTTTCAAGTAAGCAGTGTAAAAAACAATTAGAACTGTAATGTGGTAAAAAGTGGCCATGCAATTGGAATTATCCGTATTAACCTTTAAAGAAACTCTCAAGCTACAAAAAGTACAGCTAGGAAAAACTGGATACAGGTTCTCAAAGATCCCGAAGAGTCGAAAAAGCAGGAAGTGGGAAAAGGCAGCTCTAAAAAAAATTTGATTTCATCAAAAAAATGACTGCAGAAACTGTGACCAATCCCTACTAAATTTAATTGAGCATTAATCTAAAAAGTAAAATAAAGAGGCAAAACACAATTATTCTAATGAATTGCTTTTAATAGAAGTATCATTTTAAATCAAACTTTGCTGAAAGCCATGTCAAAAAAAAAAAAAGATGCCCATAATTAATTACAAAGATTTCGCATTCTTTACAGGGTTACAAACAATTGTACTTTCTTCTAACAAACGCTCGAGTACCGAAAAATTAATAGAATAAACTAATTCAAGAAACTAATTTCCTTTTTTTCAAATATTTCCTTTTCATACACTAAGAAGTTCCCCTCAAAATAGTAAAATTATTCTAGAAAGCAGTTGCCCAACTAAAACCAAAAATTGAAAAGTACTATAAGAACAAAAACTGTTACTCAGTAATGAGCAAACTAAGCGGAAAAAGATGGTTCTCCATTGCTGGAATGAAAGTGGCTAGAGGTCAACCTTCTCTAAATTATAGGCTCAATTAGATAATTATCAGCTCCAAAAGTGTAAAAAAAATTTGCTGTCGAAAGGCAACAGAACAGGCTACGAATTTTCATCAGAAGGTAAACTAGGAAGATACCACGAGAATCGATAACGAGAAAATAAATGAGAAATAAAAAACAGCTAATTATAGAAATCTTTAGCAAATAATCAGAAGACAAGAAAATGTAAATTGCTTTGAAGATTTATACTTATCAATAGTGTTAGTTAAGTTCCTCAAAAATGAAAAAAAAAAAACAAATAAATTAAGAGCATCCGTACAAATCACCTAAATATAATTTTGTTACCTACTGTTAAGGTAGAGCACATCCTAAGTAATTCTTGAAAGTAATCTGTCGAAGAGGCAACAGAAACAAAAAGAGAAATCCAATTTCACGATAAAAGTTTGAATAATAGAATTTTTAAATTATTGCTAAATTTTATTGAAGCTGTTTTTCTAAAAACATATTTAAAGCAAAATGCCAACATAAAATTCTCCACGTCGAATCATCAAAAAATTTTGAATCCCCACTCAACAAAGGTCAACGGATATACCAGCCAAGACGCCGATTTAATCTCAGATAGTTTTTTTATAAGTAGAAAAAATTTTAAAAACTTTTACATCATTTTAAGAAACCATTCGAAATCTAAGTGATCAAACTTTTTTTCTTTCTTCTTTCCGATAAGATGACAAAAAGTCGTCTTTGCTTTACGGGTTGCCACCCCCTAACGACCGACAAATATAAAATTCTTTTTCTTACTTCAGTTACAATTGTATCAACAGTTCAACCAATATACATCAGAAAAACCTTCGTATTCAATGGAAATTTCTCGAAAACATACGTCTGGCACCTGTCCAGTCTCTCGGTTTTCCCAACAGAAATGCATAAGTTGATCATTAGACTGCTTTATGAAAACCAGTCCCTTGGTTTTATCTGCAACGACCTTTCTTTTTTCAGGAGTCGAACCGGGTTGCAGTATTGAACGACCAGCCTATAATAAATTACTTAAACGATAGAAACAGAAATAATAGAATTATTGAAAATCTATAAAAGCCGACCATATTCAACTCAAACAGAGGTAAATTACTGACATTTTCCCTTTCACTTAAATGACAGACTCATCTTCCGCTTCATTCTTTCTAAAAAACCTATTAAAAACTTAAGCAATATAGATTAAAAAAGACGAGTCTGTCCTATGACACGCCCCAGTTACTCAACATATTAGTTGCGCTGCTAAATCCAACTTTACAAAGATTCGTAGAACGATAATAAAGGAAGAAAACTGGTTTGAACTTGACACGTTAAAAAAATTATTTCATTACCATAGATCTGAGTTTCAAGAAGTTAAAAAGCTCTTTCCAGTCAGTTGCTATTTTAAATGACTTTTAAAAAACGTTTAGTCAACAGGAAAATGTACATAAATGTGCCTCTAAAAGAATGACAAAAAACATTAAAAAGTATATTATCAGATAGAGAACTGTAAATGAAAAAACCACCTTAAATTCCACTAGATGGCCAGCATTTGTCTGCGTCGTGCGAGAATTTGCGAACATGACACTCATTATGAGTTTGTTTAACCGCACAACTACTAGAGTCTAATCACGGTACCAACCTAAAAATGAAAGGAAATGAATAAAAAAGCAAATATTTTTATAATGGAAACACAAATGCACCGATACGTATATAGCTGAAAAAATACATGAGAACAAATTAAGCAACTGTTTTATATCCTGGCTGTACAATGTGAGCTGAAAACGAGTTTAATCAGGGTAGTGCAAAGCAGATACAGCGTATATATAAGAGGTATATTTAACTTGAAAAAAAAAAAAAAAAAAAAAGACGATGGCCTATTTTGTCTTTTAAAAAAAATGAAATTCTATTTTCCGACTTATTGCCCGTGAAGCCACTCCAAGTTCGAATTGTTTTTTTTTCCAACACTTGTTTGGCGTCCTTTTTATGTCAATAACTACGCAGCACTTAGAACCAGTTTCTTAACTTAAACATTTGTAAACTATCTTGTGCCATGCTATACACACTCCTCAGATACTCTTACAAACGGCTCCTGATTATTATTATCACTATAATTATTATTCTTACTATTACTATTTTTATTATTGTTGTTGTTGTCGTTATTATCAGTATTAGCATTAGTATTAGTATTGTTACTAGTATTATTATCAGCATTATCACTATTAGTATTATGAGTATCAGTATTTGTATTATTATTTCAGGGATAAACATCATAGCAAACAAGCTGAGATAGATCGCAGAGCCATCCGAAACATTATGTTTATTGCTCTACTTAAGTAACATACTTTTATTCTGCTAATGGAACACTTAATCTAAACTTGAAAAAAAAAAAACAAAATTTACGTAATGTTTTTAATGTACTGAAAGCTAAGCACTTCTGCTCAACCCCCAAAAGAAAACTACTTTTTAAAAACGTTTTTGCCGATTTCTTTGGTCGGCTGTTACTTAACTTTCCAAGCAAATTTTCTTGTTTTTTTTTTGGAAACCAATTTTAGACTTTAAAATGCTGTTTTTGAGCTCTAAATAGCCTTCAAAAAAGCAGCATAGTATATCCGTAATCTCGTTTTTAGCACAACTACGCAATAATTCTGCAGAATGCAGGTTTTTGCGTTTTCGGGTGAGCACTATCAACAGCAGCAAAAAAATTGAGAGAAAAGTAATTGTAAACAAATAGATTCAAGAAAAAGCGAACAATAACAACAACAAATGTGTATTACAATAATACGGCTTACACTCCTTAGAGCATTCGCTTATCAATTATCAACAATCCAACACGATCAACTGCACATAACGCCATTCAAAACCAGCGCTCTGTCCCCTTTTCCGTCTCTTAAACTAAATAAGTGTGAGGGAAAAAAGCCGATATTCAATCAATTACCAAATTTTATAATCTACTTAGACGTTCCACACATAAATATATACTTTTTTTTTTACATTTATATTTATATATAACTAAAGCTAATTCACAAAAATTTAAAGACATAAAAATAGTTTCTGCTCATTTCATCTCCTAACCTTTCAAAAAATTTTTTTAATTGAGAATAGAAGGCAGAAAAGAAACAACTTTTTTTTTTGATATAAGACTTGAGACAGATATATACCGAAGAAAAAAAAAAAAAAA